GGCATCTTCACCTCAACAGAAACTGAAGATAAGTAGAGAAAATGACCAGCGATTAGGACCATCTGTAGGGATGACTTCCACTGAGTTAGGCCAATATTCCTTTTCTAGACACAGAACAAAAGGCAAGTTGTTCTTCCTCTAAATGGCACACAAAGCCTAAGAAATGAGAAGCAACTTTAATCTTGCATGCCCCTGATTCAGCTGGAGAGAGCAAAATCCACAGTTTTAACTTGCATCTGGGATTAGGGGAAACTCAGGTGTGATCCACCTGAGGATCCCAGTGCACCCAGGAAAATGTGGGTCTCCACATTTTGACTTTTAGAAGTTGAGGTAACAGGTGATCTTAGCCATTATTTAAAACAGCCAGGTATATGTAGATGCCCAAACATAAACAAAACACCTAACCTTCCAAACTACATTGCTTAAAGCCAATTCCACTTTAAAACTCAAATGATCAATATTTGCACAAAAACAATCAGTCTTCTTTAACTTTAAAACACTCTGGGATCAACAAATTTAGTCTAACAAACAAAAAGTAAAAATTTCGTTATATTTTCTGGGGAAATGTGGACATTCAAGTCACCAAAAGAAACCATAGTAAGGATCCAACAAGGACACACCATGATGAGGGAGACTTGATTTACAAGCAGAGGAGGTTGTGGCCTCTGAACTCAATCAGTCACCACTGGAGAGAACACACGTACCTTCTTCCTTTTGAAACCCCACACCATTTTACCTGAGCCTTTCTTATTACATTCTAGCTCATATAAAATATGCAAGATTCTAACTTAGGTAGAATTTTGTTATATGTACCATCTCTTCAAGATTAAGTTTACTGGTGGTAAAATGCACATCTGAGTTACCTCTTGTTACCTGGAGTTTAAAAGGGTATAATTAGAGAAAACATAATAAATGTTCATCATTCATTGAATAAGTTTCAAAAATATTGACAAATCTCAATGTATAGAAGTCCCTGACAACTAAAGGCAAAAAGATGATCCGAATTGCTGAATTAAAGATATTTTAGAATGCTGAGGCAAGAAGATCACAAATTCAAAGCCAGCCTCAGCAACTTGGTGAGACCCTGTCTCTAAGGAGGGGGGGGGAAATATATATATATATATATACACACACACACACACACATATTCACATATATATGAATATATGACTGAGGATGTGACATAGTCATTAAGTGCTCCTGGGTTCAATCCCCAGTACCAAAAAAGAAGATATTTTTAGAATGTCATATATTTTTGAAATGTTAAATGTACGATGCATGTTTTTCTTTAAACTCTATATTAAATGCCACAGGAATTTAGAAAAGAGAACATAATCAGAAAATTAAACAAGGACAGAAATTGAGTCCTATGCAACAATAAACTGCCTCCCTTCCCCCAAATACATTCACACACAAACTTACACAGGGAATGTAGAAAGGAGTTAACAAATATTGGTCAAAACAAAACAACTATCTGCTCAAATATGAAAAGGTGGAAGTTCGAAGCTTTTTAAAAAAATAAATAAAGAGCATTTGTGAGTACTGCTTGTGGATGTGGATACAGTCAGCCAAGCATTCTTTAGAAGCCAAGCTCATTACCACCAAGCAAGCTACCTGAATAGGAATCTCAGTCAAGTGTTCCCCAATGCATCTGCTCCTTCAGGAGTTATGAGACACAGGAGAACTGACTAATAAAAACCCTTTCTATCCCTCAAGTTTCTAACAATGGCTAGTTACAACTATTCCAAAATCAAGACTTAGCACCAACCTCGTGTTGAGAGTAATATGCTTTGTTTTTACATTGCATAAAGAAGAAACATGAGCTAAAGGACAACTAATATATAGCACAGGTAGGAAAAGAAAAATGTCATAACTGCAATGCCAGGTTAGGAAGGTTTGAAAGTAATACCTGTGATGGATTGGACTGTGACCTCCAAAAAAAAAAAAAAAAAAAAGGAAGAAGACGAAAGAAGAAAGAAGAAGGAGGAGGAGGAGACAGGTTAAAACCCTAAGTTCTACTGTCTCAGAATGTAACCTTATTTGAAAATAGGTCTTTATAGAGACATCAAGTTAAAATGAGGTCATGAGGAAGGACCCTAATCCAATATGACTGTGTCCTGATCAAAGGGGGAAATCTGGAGACACATACACACACACACACACACACACACACACACACACGAAAATGAAGGCAGAGGTCAGGGTAATTCATGTCCTATTCAGGAATGCCAAAACTGCCAGCATACCACCAGACGCTAAGAGAGACGCATGGAACAGATTCTCCCCCAGAGCCACAGAAGGAATCAACTCTGCCCACACCTTGCACTTCTAGCTTCCATAACTGTGAGATAATAAATTACTCATGTTTAAGCCACCCCATTTGTGGTTGTTAATAGCAAACGTAGCAAACTAATGCAATGAAGTTTATGGTTAAATCCAAATATGATACCTATAAAAAATATGTGTGTATGTGTATAGGGGTGGGTGTGTGTGTGTGTGTGTGTGTGTATAAAACACTTTGTAATATGTGAATATATATGTGTATGTATATGTGTGTGCATGTGCGTGCCTGTGTGTGTGTGTTTGTGTGTGTGTTTGTGTGTGTGTATCTGAAACTAAAAAACTCACAGGAATCTCTACAAATACCAGACAGCTTTACCATAAGAAAATGAAAGCTGCTCTTAGGGAAGAGGCTAAAGATAGCATTTAAAGATGGAGGCAGGGATGCAGACATTTATGGGACAGTAGTACAACAAGGTCCCAACATTTAGCTAGCTCTTTAAGTTATGCAGCACCTCAGAGACACATCAACTGGGCTCTCAATTCCTGCTACATGACACTTACACAGTTGGTATTCTTTTGACTTTGCTACCTTAAAGCAGTGAAACCCAGGCAGCCTGTCATCTCTCAAAACAGGTGAGCAGGCAATGGCTTTCATCTTCAACTGGAGGAAATTAAACACGACATGTGACCAGCAGGCTTTAAACTTAGAAAAATTCTGACAAGATAAATCTAGACCTGCTGGAGTAAAAACAATCAACGGTCCACAACCATCATGCTCAAAGGCTACAGGTACTTTTAAGTCTTTTTTTTTTTATTCAGGCATAATAAATTTAAATTTTTCAATTGACTCTAAGATTCTGAGATAAATGTTCAAGATTGAATATTTATTCAATAACATTACTAACTTATATTTGCAGATCAGCAGAACACATTATTTGTGAACAAGTAGTTTCAAGTACCTGGTTTGTTTCCTTATAATGAAATAGGGTGTTTGCTTCTATTTGAGTCACCATTAAAACAAGTCAGAGCATATGTGAGAAACTTATGGAAAATTCAACATGGACCATATCTCTCCAAGTCCTTTACAATGTAAAAGCAGTAATAGTGTAATGAGTGCAAGGGATGACTTCAAGCCAGATAGGCACAATGTAAAGCAAGTGTTGCTATGAACCACTGTGTGAAAATGGGCACATGGCTAAACCTATTTGTGCACCACAATTCCTGACTGGTTAAGTACAGACAACAATAATAGGGCATATCATAGCATTATGAGGAGTAGATAAGGCAAAATGATATACTATATTTTATACAAAATTATTGAGAAATTAAGGAGAGCTAGTATCACGTTATTAACTTTGAATGTGCAAGAAATTTATGAAGTACTATCTCTGTTAAAATTACCTCAACCATTCAGACCATTATTTTGATGTTCATTAATTCTCAAGCAACTCAGTTAAGTCATTAATAATGCTCCGGGTTTGGTTTTATTTTCTGTTTCCCATCATATTAACTTTTCATTCAAATAAAAAACAACAGACCTTTTTAAAAACATTTTTATAGCTCACAAAACTAGTGTTGCTTCTTTTTAACCTGACTGCATTTTTGTATTCCTTTACCTTCAGATCTTCTTTTAGAAGGAATACTTCTTCATTTTCTTAACTTAGAAACCATGAACAAAAATATAAAATTATACTCCATAAAAGCCAGATTACATAAATTAGCACATAGCCAAAATTTGCAATTATGTTTTTGGAATGATCAGTCAGAGAATTTTCTAATATCTTTTTTAAAATGTAATGTTAAATAGAAGGTCTTATTTCTGTTTTCTTTTTTCCTTTTTCATTACTGGGAATAGAACTCAGGCTTCTCACATGCTAGTGAAATACTCTACCACAGAGCTTGACCTGAGCCCTAGAAACTCTTATTTTTCCTATAAAGGTTTTAAAAAGAAATATAGGGATGATTTACAAAATTACTTTATAGGATCATCTGGTAAAGTTATTAAGGTAGAACTAGGTTTATTTCTCCTGAGGCTATTTAGAAAAAGGCATCAAATTTTCCACAAGCTACATGTCACTAAATACAGTAACTTTCTGCCCTCAGTCACTAAGGGAGAGGGAATTGTCCATCAGAAACATCTGGTACAGCTTTATAAGAATCCAATTCTGTGCCCTGACCCCAGGATACCAATGGGGATAGAAAGGACACAGAGGAAAGAGTTGCTTCTCTATGGGGAAATATATTCAGCACAGTGCCAAAGCAGGCAGGTGCAAAGAAAGAAAAAGAAAAGTTTGCAGGGTGGTTTTTTGTTTTTGCTTTTATGAATAGGAGACTTCTGAAAAATGGAGTAAAAGCTCAATTTAAAACAATGTCATGGATGATATTACATGTGGTTCTGATTTCTATTCTTAACATGAAACCTACATGAGAAATTAATCACACAATCCACCTGGAAATGAATTCTGATTAGAGGGTACCAACTCCACTGAGGGAAAAGAAAACAAAGTTGGAGGAGGGGTTGATACAGAAAGATCACCTGGGCAAGTCTGCAAACCTGTTTTCTAGCAGGGAAAGCAAATTCTAGTGCCTTAAAAAATAATCCTGACTGGAGATAATTTTATTGTATATTAAGTGGGAATTATTTAATGTACTGCTATTTAATATTAAGATAGCAGAATCATTTTACATATGAAATATTCAAAAACCATTGAACTTACTTGCTTTTCCCTTTGTATACTGTAGCATAAGATCCTTCTCCGAGTTTTTCCAGTTTTTCATATGAGTCAGCTTTTCCAAATTTGGGACTTGTTGGCTAAAAGTGAAGCAGAGGGTAAACAAAACAGATTTTATCAAATTAATTAAAAATAAGTATTCTGATTTCACTGAGAAGATACAGATTCTTTGTCACTTGTCAAATAACTTTTTTCTGATAAAAGAATATTTATTTCTTTGAAAACAACATAATAAACACACAGTATAAAACCAAAGTCCTGCCAATGAATGTGTGTAGAATTAAATTTACTTATAATCTAACAAAGGAATCATTGTAAATATTCTGATATCTCTTCTTGTGCTGATAAATGTCTTTTACAGAGATGGGATTAACATACTTACTCTTTTATACCTGCTTTTTTTTTTACTTAATATATTATAAACATTTTACATGTTGTTACATAATCTTCTAAATTAGGGGCTGACAAACTGTGAACCAGGGTCAAATCTAGCCCTCTACTTGTTTTTGTACATTCTGAGAGTTTAGAATAGTTTTTATCTTTTTTAATAGTGGAGATAGATAGATCAAAGGAGGAATAAAAATTTATGATATGTGAAAATTAAATAAAAATTCAAATTTTAGCATCCATAAAGCTTTATTAGAATGGTCATCTGCTCATCATTTACATATTATCTGTTACTTTCTAGCCACAACAGAGCTGTAGTTATAACAGAGATCATACAACTGAGGATGCTGAAATAAATATTTACTATCTGACTCTTGTAAATCATGACTGTATAATACTCAGTCTTACAAAGGTACTCTTTAATATCTTTTAGTAATAATACAAATAGATAATCAAAGATGTATCATTAAGATATTGCTAATATATAAAATGGAACTCCCTTTTGAACTAATCCTTACAGTTTAATTTCAAGAAAATTCCTTCTCCTTTAGAAAGATTACCACCCATAAAAATTAAAAGACTGCCAGAAGAGTGATTTTTTTCATTCTGACTGTGCTAACACACCTATTTTAACCATTTACCTCTTATTTAGATAGGAAATTATATAATTTTAATGATATTATAAAAGGGTAATATCAAAATATATTAGAGAATTATATAAGAAATTAGAAGCATCTTACTAAATTCATTATCAGATCACAGTTATAAGTACATATATAATTCACAAAAAGGTTGCTAACGATTGTGGTAATTCATAAATGACCAATTCTAGGAGTTTAATGAAGGAACTTCTTGCAGAAAGTTTATAGAACACTATTTCTGAGCTTGAACACAGTTTGTACTATACTGTTATGCCATTTATGAGAAAACACAGGACATCCAGGCAATGAATGAGTACTAGCACCATTTATAAGGACTCTATGCAGCAGTTTGAATACATGCTCTTACCTCCTTCCCACCATAAACACCACACAGTGACTGAGAAGACAATTTGCGAAAACAGTACACCAGAATTAGGAAGGAGAAAAAGAAAACAGTGCCAATACCTAATCAGAAATTTTGAGGACTGCTGAAAGATAGCACATAATCAGAATCAAAACTTAAGGGGAAAACACCAACATTAGGAGAAGACTATTAAGAGACAAAGCAACAGGGACCTGTGACTACACCAGTGAGCACAACAGCTTCCCAAGAAAGACACAGGCACATATGCAAAGGAGACAGCTGAGAATGTGGTATCTGGAGAGGGGCAAAGCAGACTCAACAAGCCAACACCAAGGGCAAGGACAATGTTTCCCATCCCACAATCTATAATTGTTGTCTCTTTCACAGAGTCAGTACAGATAAGTTACAGAAACCAGAATAAAGATAAGTTACAGAAACTAGAATAAATCATGATAATGATTCTTATATACAAAGATGAATATACAATCACAAATCACAAATCATTTCAGGAAAATCAGTGTCCTGAAAAAGAAGTATAAAATGTAATAGGCAGATAACAGAAAGCCTGGATACAGGTGACAGCCTAAATGTAAGAATAACTTAGAATATAAATAACCAAACCTTCAAAAAGCTTTGAGAAGACATCACAGCATTAAAAAATGAACCAATGAGGCAGTGTGGATATGAAACACGTAATCAGTGAAATAAAACATTTAATGGGCAGTGAATGGAAGAATGGAGATTACTGAAAAAGTAGTAAGTAAGCTCAACGGTTGAACAGATTTCTCCCAGAAAACTTCAGGGAGAGACTGCATCTAAATATGAAGATTATTCAACAAGCACAATATTTTCACAGACAGCAATGGCTGCAAACGGCAGTTAAGCAATATTTTTTAAATTCAAAGACAAAATTATTTGGTACCACTGATCTATACTCAAGTTAGTCTCTCAAGTAGAATATGGATACTGTGCAACATCACTGCCCACATAGTTTCTTATTAACTCAATATAAAACTTAGTTGAAGAGATGGAAGAAGTACAGGAAGGCAAGGAACAGTAGGAAAGGAAAAATAATATGTCGAGATTCTTGAATTCATCAAGACAGACAGCAGATACTGATCAACTCCAAAGGCAAAAATTTTAGTATGTTTCTTAACTCTTAAAAGAGAATAACTAGGTTAATATAAATAAGATGTACAAATGTCAAACAAATTGAGGAAAAGGGAATAGAAGGGGGAAATGTAGTGAAGAAGAGGAAAGAAGGTATGGAGTGGGAGGATATAGGAGGAAGGATTCCTAATAAAAAGCATGAGAAGTAAAAAATTATCAAAAAACAAGGAAAGTGGGCTTGGGCTGTAGCTCTGTGGTAGAGCGCCTGCCTACATGTGGGAGGCCCTGGGTTCAGTCCTTAGCACCACATGCAAATAAATAAAATAAAGGCATTCTGTCCATCTACAACTACAAAAAAAAATTTTTTTAAACCCAAGTAAAGTAAGTCGAAGCTAATTAATGATTATAATAAGCATGCTTGAATCAGCTTCCCCTACTGAGAGAAAAAAAAAAGCAAAAAAAAAAAATTAGCAATGTGCTATTGAGAAAATACAGAGCTATAGCAAAAGATAAATCTGAAAATAGACAAGTAAGGGGGAAACATAGCAAAAAAATTAGTATTTTAAAAAATAATACATTACAGTAACATTAAAATCTACTGAGGAGTTTAAAAATAATAAACTAATAAAGTTTTAGAAACATAGTTTTAAATATATAAAACAAGTATTGGTGTCAATTGAATGCTTGGTGATAACACTGCTCAGACATCAACAAGAGCAACCAAGAAAATCAATAAGTAAGGGATCTTTAGGCTTAAATATTAGAATTACCAGCTTAGTTGAATATACTGATTGATGTGTTTATATTCTTTTCAAACACACATTTAATATTAATTTTTAAATTACCATAGATTAAGTCATGAAGAATATCTCAATATTGAAAACCTTAAAAATAATCCATTCCAAGAAGTTACTTTATCTAAACATAATGCAATAAAATCAGAAATTAAGAATACTATTAATAAAATTATACTGTATTTGAAATTCTGTTCTAAATAAGTAAGTTGTATATGCTCTTGTTATATAACAGAAAAAAAAAAACCTGGGTAACTGTGAAATAATGAATATGGTAAGTTGCTTCACTATAGTAACTATACATAATAAATTTGTTACTTATTTATTATATTATTATATTCATTATATTATTATTATTATTAAAAAGTAATAAAAGGGAAACTAAACCATTGAAAAGAAAACCAAAACTGAAAATTCATAAATAAATATATGACAATGAGGACATGACACATTATGATCCCTGAAACGTAAAAGAAAATTTAAATACATATGTCCATATTAGAAAAGAATAAAGTAATATGATGCAGACTTTTAACTGCAGCTTGAAAAGGAGCAACAAATGACACAGTAGGAAAGGATTAATAAAGACAACAGAAGATAATACTCATGAGATATGAAGCACAAATATTGTAGATATGATCAAAAATAAATAAAATAAAACCAAATACTATTTGTAAAGACTGTTAAGAGATAATCTTCTGGATCTTTAAAAAGAGCACCAAATAAACATTAGAAATTTATTGTAAGACTCAGTATAAGAACAGATCTTTTGTTGCCATTAACCTACCTGGAATTCTATGTACAGATTTATGCCAAAATACATGGGAATTTAAAATGAACACTTTATTTTCTAGAAAAATATCAGTTACCCAGATTGTCTTAAGAAAAAAAACAAAATTCAATAAACAAAATAAATTTAAATAATAAAAACTTGGAGATGCTACAGTCTATTAAGGGAAACTTTACTAAAATTTAGGTAATGAATAATTACTAAGTTGTATAAGTAGGTAGCCAAAAAAAAAAAGTCAGATGCTACAAAATTTATTTTCTGAGACTAGCAAAACCTATTACCAAAATTCAAAAATTAACTTGTTAATTTAAAACAGCTGAGTATTATAAACACAGAAGCAAAAAATCCAAAAACCTATAAGATAATGTTCTGTAAATAAAATAAAGCATCATGATCAATTAAGACTTCTTTCATGAATTCTAGATTAGCTCAACCTCAAAAAATTTATACATTTCACTACATAAGGGAAAGTAAATTTGGTAATAACAATGAATTCTGAAAAATAAATTTAACACACACATATGAAATAAAAACAGAAAATATATAATCTAGAAATAAAAGAAAGTTTCCTAATTTCATAAAGACTATTTTACAGGAACCTACAGTAAATTTTATACATAATGATGAAACATTTGATTAATTAGCTTTAAGTTAAAGAACAAGACAAGTAATCTCCTAACCTGCAGTATTTCAGAGATATTAACAAGCATTTGGAAGATGGAAGAAGACCCTCATCGTTATACAAAATACATGTATCAAGATGTGAGAAAAATAATATAAAATAAAAGAATAGCATCACCTTAGATTGGGTAGAGAGAAGTGATGGGAGGGGAGGGGAGGGGAGGGGAGGGGGAGAAGGGAAGGACAGTGAAATGAAACAGACATTATTACTGCTGTGAGTATATACGTGACTGCATGACCAATGTGATTCTGCAACCTGTACACTAAGAAAAATGAGAAATTATATCCCATCTGATTCAAATGTATGATATGT